TTTTCTTTCTGGGAAACACTTTATTTCTCCTTCAATTTTAAATAATAATAGCCTTGCAGCTTAGAGTAGTCTTGGTTGTAGGTGTTTGCTTTTCAACACTTCGAATATTTTATGCCAATTCCCTCCGGTCTGAAAAGTTTCTGAGGAGAAAGCTGTCTTTCTCTTGCTGTTTTTAAGATTCTCTTGTTGTCTTTAACCTTTTCCTTTGGGCTCATTTTGTTTGGTACTCTGCACTTCCTGGCCTTTTATGTCTATTTCCTTTGCCAGGTCAGTTACGTTTTCAGTCATTATTTCTTCAAATAGGTTTTCAGTCCTTTGCCCTTTTTCTTTTCCTCTCGGTATTCCTATGATGTAGATATTGTTACATTTGACGTTGTCCCAGCTCTCCCTTAATCGATATTTTTTAAAATTCTTTTTTTGTTGCTCTGATTCAATGTTACCTGTTACCTGTCTTCCACATTGCCAGTTCAGTCCTCTGCTTCATCGTCTGTTGTTGATTCCTTCTAGTGTACTCTTCATTTCAGTTATTGTATTCTTCATCTTTGACTGGTTCTTTTTATGGTTTCTTTGTCCTTTTTTTATGCTTGATATCTCTTTGTTGAAGTTTTCACTGAGTTCATCTATTCTTCCCCTAAGTTCCTTGAGCATCCTTATAACCAGTGTTTTAATATCTTTCTCCTCGCCCCCCTCCCCAATAGATTTCTTGCCTCCATTTCATTTAGTTCTTTTTCTGGAGATTTCTCCTGTTCTTTTATTTAGTGCATGTTTCTTTGTCTCCCCATTTTAGCCACTTCTTTGTGTTTGTTTCTGTTTTAGGGGGGTCTGCTATCTACTCTTGGTCAGGTAGGTGGCCTTGTAGAGTGGTATCCTGTGGGGCTCAGTGGTGCAGTCTGTGGTCACCTGAGCTGGGTGCTTCAGGAGCGTCCCTTGTGTTGGTTATGTGAGTCCTTCTATTGTAGTTGAGTCTTGATTGCTGTTGGCACGTCAGTGGGTAAGGCCTCAGGCTGGCTCCACCACAGTGTGTGAGCTGCTGTGCGGGGGCCGACCCCAGGAGCTGGAATTTGTGCAGCAGGGTATAGCGCCTGCCAGACCTCCCTTTGAGTGTGTTGCCTGTGTAGCTTACTGGGTTGTGCACTCTTGGTCTGAAGCCAGCCAGTAGAGTTTATTAGGCTAAAGCAGATTAAGATTTGACCCTGCGAAGGAAGGGCTTAGTATGGGAAAGGTGGCGCCTGTCAGGCATGCAGGAAGACAGCCCTTACCCTGAAGCCACACCACTCATTCTCTACATGTGCGTGTTTGGTACCCACCCCACCCCAAGCCTATTCAGAATTCCGTGAGAATTTTTCCAGTAAGGGTGGTTGCCTTGGGCAGAGCCTCAGGGTGTAAAAAGACTGTAATGTGAACCCATGCTGGTTGCAGCTGGCAGAGCTTACAGCCCTGTGGGAGTTGGGTAGGGCCAGGCCTTGGAAGTCGTTGGGATAGAGCTAGTGTAGCTCCCCAGGCTAATGCAGTGTGATAGGAGTACTTGACCCAGGAAAGAAGGCATTCCCGGGTGGTTTGGGAGAGGGACTCAACAGGGACATTAGTGGCTGTCCTTCCACCCCTATCCCCAAAGCCACACAACCCAGTCCATCCCTGTGTGATACCAGCACCCTCTGAGCTGCTGCCCCTCTGGAGCCCAGGATGAGTGCCTGTGAGTGAGATTTTAAGAGGATGACTGAGTTTCCAGCAGCCTTTAGGTACTGCACTCAGGAGGACGGATTTCCTGCTGATTTTCCCGGCCAGATACTATGTAGGCTCTTCTTAGTTAGCACTGCTCTTCTGGGCCAAGGAGCCTCCCTCCCCCCCATGGGGTGTAGATCCTTTGATCCTTGGGGAACCTCTAGTTTAGATCCTCAACTGCCACACATGGTTGTAGGGCCAGCCCACCTAGCGTCGCTGCTCCTCCTATCAGTCTGGATGTAGTGACTTCTGTATATTCCTAGTTATAGGACTTCTGTTCAGCTAGTCTTTAGATGGTCATCCAAGTTCAGCTACAATTCAGTTGTGATTTTGACATAGTCATGAAAGGAGGTGGGTGCAGCTTCCACCTACTCTGCCACCTTTGAAAATCCTCCATACGACGTCTGCCGTCTCTTGAAATCATTAAGTTATTTTTATCCCTTGCAGTTATATTTTTTCAAAGAATTTAAACATTTTTTTACTTACTGGTTTTTAGAGAGCGAGAGGAATACAAATTTGTTGTTCCACCCATCCATGCACTTGTCGGTTGCTTCTTGTATAAGCCCCAGGCAGAGATCAACCTTGCAACTTTGGTGTATTGAGGTGATACTCTTAGCAGCTGAACTACCCTGCCAGGGCCTTGCAGTTGTATTTGTTTGAAGAGCAGCATTTTGTCTTGCCAGTTGTATCTCTCCCCGTGGTGTCCATAGTGTTTTTGACATACTTCTCTGTCCCTTCTATTTCCTGCATATTGGTTCTTATATCTAGAGTTTGAATAGATTTGGGTTGTTTTGCTTTGTTTGGGTCAAGACCATTTTATTAGAAGGCAAATGTCTAATTGCCTCTTTCTGAATTTAGAAGTGCTTAATGATTATTTTTCAGATCCATTTTATTAGGAGTTACAAAATGCTGATTTTGTAATTCCTGCATTTGTTCATTTATTTTCATTTGTTAATTGAAATACTTATTGAAAATTTTTTTCATCAGCTCTCTGGTTTCCTGTTGTTTACATAGGAAAGGAAGATAAGAGAAATGCTCGATTTGTTTCCTTTACTTACTAGTTCTCAGAATAATGAATTAATTTTTTCAACTAGGGATCCTCCAAAGGTAACTTAAAAAAAAATACCATTAGCCCTGGCTGGTGTGGCTCATTAGTTTGGTTGCTAGTTCAATTCCCAGTCAGGGCATATGCCTGGGTTGCAGGCCAGGTCCCCAGTAGGGGGCACGTGAGGCAACCACACATTGATGTTTCCCTCTCTTTTACCTCCCTTCTCCTCTCTCTAAAAATAAATAAATAATACCTTTGGCGTGGGGAATACCATTAGAAATTCAGAGAATGTATGTATTTGGTTAACTTTAATCCATTATAGTTATTCTTATTGATGTTAAAATTGTCCTGTGTTTAGCCATTAGGAGCCTCATCTCACTGGCTCGAGTCCTTTGACTTGACCTTTGGAGCTCTCTGATTTTTGGTGTTACGAGATGTCCCAGCCTCATTTTGTGTAGTTTTAGCTCTAAACCTGGAATTCATATATCTTCAGGGGGCTTTGGTTCCTCTTCAGAAAATGTCACGCAGGTACCACAATTTGTTTTCTAGGAGTACGCATAGTAGTGGCTTGCTTTTTGTTCTTAGGTTTCATAGGATAGAACTAAGTAATAAGTTTTGTTTGTTTTAAAGATAAATTCTAAGTGCATACTAATACTTAGGATTTACTGATTCAAACTCAAGGCTGTATAATTTTTATTTGCATCTTAAACCTACCCTTTTTCCCTGGGCTGACAGACTCAATTCTCACCTCATCACCTGTATGTAACACTCATTTACTTTAACCTGAAATACACACATACACACACACACACACCATCAGAATAGTAATATCAACGAGATCAGGAATGTTATGACGAAGAAATGTGTATTTCCCAAGTCTTATAACTGGCCTCTGTGGTGGGTACTGTTCCCACTCCTGTGTTTGGGCCTCGCCTCTCCTTCCTCTTCATTTTCATAGTTGGCCCATCTATCGCTCTGGCGTGGCACCCGTTTAGGCACCCCATTAACCTACTCTTTGAAAGTCCCCACAGGCAAGGACTAGCATATTTTTCTTTTCTCTGTAGCACCTAGCCATTGCCAGATACATAGCAGATACTCAGATAATGCTGAGTATGTGAGTTAAAGATTAAACAATTCACGCAAGGAAAAAGGATATTGACTTTGGTATAAAGGCACAAGAGTTTAAAGTCTAGGTCTGCCACTCGGAGTTGTGGCCATCATCAGCCTTACAAAGTACCCCTTTGGGTGCAGCATAACTGGTTCAGACCTCTGCTAAGATCAGGACACGTATATCCTCCATCCTCACCCTTCACTCTGTCAGGCAATGAGAGGGCTGACTCAGAAAGTGTGGGTACACAAGAGTTCATGTTGGCTCTCATTGAGTACATGGGGGGAGACCTTGGGCAAAGTCACTTATCCTTTCTGAGCTGAGTTTCCTCATCTATAGAAGATAACAGCTCCCACATTCTAGAACGTTGTGAAGAGTTGAAGCAGTTCCTGGCACATAGTTAAGTGCCATGTAAATGCTGGCTGTTAGTAGCAAGAGATACCATTTTGGTAACGATTAAGGACTTTAACATTGGGGTTCTGTTTTGGGGTCTTCAAGACCACCCCTACAATTAGAAGTTTCACTAGAAAGACTCAAGACTCAACATACAGTTGTCCTCATGGCTAAGATTCAGTACAGTGATATACAAGGATGCACAGCTGGATCATAAGGGGAAAGGCAGAGTCTGGAGGGATCCACGCGCAGGCTTCCTATTCCCTCTTCATGTCATGAGGGTCACAGAGTCCATTCTCCCAGCAGCAAGAATGCAGCAACATGGTATGATGTTCCCGCTCAGGGAAACCCATTAGAGACTTGGCACCTGAGATTTTATTGGGGGCAGTCACATAGGCACCCTCTGCTCAGTACAGACCAAAATTGCAGAGCCCTGGGAGGAAAGCAAGCACCGAGGCTAAATTGTATGTTTGGCACTAATAGACAAGGCACAAGGAGCCGCCCTTAGCAGTTAACCGTTGACTGGGCGCACTCCGAGAGCCAAGTTCCCAGATTCCAACCTAGGGCCAGCCTTACAAGCAGGCCCAGCCTCTTCAGTGTTAATTCTTCTGCTTAGGGTAAGACAAATGTCACTCTGCCCCAGACTCAAGTTTTGGTTATCCCGTGGGCCCAGATAACAGAAGCTGTGGCAGGTAATTCAAGTACCTTCTTTGTTGTTTTCTTTTCCAGAATGGCTTTGACTACTTGTTGACATACAGTGACAATCCCCAGACTGTGTTTCCTCGCTACTGTGTTAGTTGGATGGTTTCCAGTGGTGAGTGGGCACTTGTGTGCATGGCCTGGACCCTACCTGGGTGGAACATTTTGTTTTTCTCTAGTTTCTTATTGGCAGCAAGAAGATTATACTTGTGTCACTGGAGCCATGTGGGGAGATTAAATGTCCTTCCGAGCTGTGCTTGAATACCCTGAAGCTGTCGAAGCTCCAAACCCTCCACCAGGGTTTGGAGGAATGAGAAGTATGACATCCCCGAAAAGAACTGTGCCCAGAAGGCAGTTTTAAGAAGAGCATTTGCTTAATGCCTTAAATGTGGGCTGTGGACAGTAATGCACTTCACATATTTCTTCTTAGTGTTGGGCCATAAAATCTGGCAGAGAAAACGTGGTTGTAGGACAGTCACCTGGGTCCTAACAAAGGTTATACACGTGGCTGTGCCTACACCTCTCCCTTTCAATGTCTTGCCTTAAAAAGCACCCTGAAGTGATTTTCTTTCTTCTGGTAGCTTCTTGTACCTTGGGGAGAATGGAGAGGAGACTGGGTATTTCTGTGTGGCATTTATTAAAATAAAATTGATAAAGATACAGGCTGTGCTACTGATAAGTGATGTTTTCATCACCTGAAAGAGAGCCACTTGGGATGTAAGTGGCTTTCAGCACCCCTTTTCAAAGTATTTCAGCGGTCATGAGTTGTTTTCATGCTGCACACATTCTGAGAGGCAAGCGTCACTCACAGGCTGTCTGTCGATCAGCCTGTGATTTCTATAAGGAGGGATGGGCTCCATCACAAAGAAATAGGGCGTTTGAATTTTGAGCCCAGAGCTGGTTTGTCTGTCAGCCTACTCAACTTTCCCTCTCTCCAACAGGCATGCCGGATTTCCTGGAGAAGCTGCACATGGCCACTCTGAAAGCCAAGAACATGGAGATCAAAGTAAAGGACTATATCTCGTCTAAGCCTGTGGAAATGGGTAGTGAAGCCAAGGCCACCACGCCATCTTCTGAGCGGAAGAACGAGGGTAGTTGCGGCCCTGCCCGGATCGAGTACGCTTAACAGGGCTTTGGGATGAGAAGGGACAGGCTGCTTCTAGCCCTGTCTCAGTCCCTATCACTCTGCTGCAGAAGCGGGATGTGTACTAAAAGGTGTCTGCTGTAACCACCAGTGCGAGACAATTCAGTGACTGGTGACCGGTTTCATTCAGAGCCCTCTTTGCTCTTTATGAAAACAGAGAAGAAGGAGGCGTCCACGGGGCATTGTCGTATTCTCAGGCCAAGCGTGTTGCAATTCAGTATTTCGGTGAGCTAATCTGGAGCACACCGCAGGCCAGAAGGGGATGGCTTGTTTTTGCTCCCTCTGAGTAGTTTCCTCTGCCAACATTCCAGTTTCCACCATCAGTTCTGCATTTGGACTTCCTTTATTCTAAAGGTCCAATGGGAAAGTGGAAAGTGAAGTTGGCTGGTCGATGGTTCACTTGGTTCAATGAGGGGTCATAGTGTTGAATGGATGTGCACTGTTGCTTGGCAGTGTAAGTGCCTTGTCCTCGCCTTGCTATCTTCAGGGACATAAAGTTTGTACCAGGAAATTTCTTTCTTTGCCTCCCAAATACCACCCATTGCCTACCCAAAGCCATTTCCTTTGGATTGGCCAGCTCTTCCATATTCATGCACTGTGTTAATTTGGCTTGGCACCTCATTCCTTGGCTCATTTACTGAGAACACTGGGAACCGATTCCTTTCAGACCGTAGCTTTCTGTATTATTGTTTTGATAGAATAAGTGGAAATGTTCAAAACATCACACATTAATATTTTTTTAATCTTTGTGTCAAAAAGTAGGAATTGGAGAATTGTACAGAATTTCTCCAGTCCCACTGTTCAGAAAACACCATTCTGATTCAGGCATTATTTTTCACGCTTCACGGTTGTCTGGATGCTGAGAACTTGTCCGTGTCAGAAGGCTAAGCAAAGGAGTGAGGTCGGGCCACTCCCCAGAGCTCTCAGAGCTGTAAACAAGCTCTGTGACCCAGGGGGTGAAATTTTGCCCCAAACACTAATATAATGGTTTTATATAACCCTCTCATTCCTCTGAAATTTTTTGCTCCTTCAGAGAGAAAATGGAAGCAAACTATGCTCTTTGGATGAAGTCACAGTCAGAGGGTATCAATCTGGCCTTGCTGATTCTGCTGACGGTCATGCTGCCATCTGATGGGAGAATAGGGATCAAGTTTTAAATCCTCTCTCCCCTTTTTTTTTATAATTTAAATGATGAGATTCCCCCCCCCCTTTTTTTTCCCTACTTGGATCTAAACCTGAGACTAACTTAAGTCCCTCAACCTTTTTGTTGCCTGTGAAGATTTGTGCCAAGGAAATAACTACCTGGTGTTTCCTGTCTTGCCTCCTCTAAGTCATTGGCAGAGCAGAGATGCAGTGAGCAGCCTCAGCTCCCCCTACTTTTTTTTAATCCTCACTCGAGGACATTTTTTCATTGCTTTTAGAGGGAGAGAAACATCAATCGGTTGCCTCCCATACGCACCTGGACTAGGGATTGAATCCGTAACCTTTCTTTAGGTTATGAGATGACTGTCCAAACAACTGAGCCACATAAGCCAGGCTCCCTAGCTTCTTTCCATGATCAGTTCTCTGTTCTCATCCCTAGAACCTGATAAGCCAGGGAAGCGGCCCTGGGTTATGTCTGCACTCAGTACCTGTGATTGTCAGGGCGTGGGTGGCTGTGGGCGAGAGTGTGCATGAGTGCGCAGGCATTACAGAGCTCTGTGTTGCTCGTGTTCCGATTTGGGGGAATTTGGCTGCATTTGGAGTCGGTCTATATAGTTACGTATGTCATCATAATGATTTCACTCCTTACTGATATTTTTATCATACGTGTGAATAAATGCATAAAGATTGGTATAAAAGAGTGTTTGTTTTTGGATGGGTGGTGGTGGGAAAATCTTGCATAATGGGCTTATCATTTCTTCCTGATTATAAAATTTGAAAGGAGTGTTGCTACTTATAGTGTTGGCATGTGGAAGTAGGTGCAGTCTACCCTGGTAGTGGCTGACACCGCTAACCACCTTGTCTAGACAATGAGCCCTTTCCAGGTGACCAAATGGCAGCTGAAAACAAGCCATTTATTTCCATTGTCTTGTGTTGATCTACACAGGTCCTTTGCTTTTAAAGGGTCAACTTGAAGGAAATGGTGATAGAATTTTGCTGATGAAACTTGAGCAAATGAGGAGAAGAGGAGACTTGAGCAAGCCTAGGTCTAGAGTTATGGAGGGTCAGTTTGGGACCTTGTTGGAGAGGGTAGGTGGTGACCTCAAACCCTACTTGGCCTGTGGGAAGTAGTGTCACACAGGCCATTGTGCCAGAATTTGTATTTCTTCCCAGGCAATGGAGACACTGGGAACATAATGTAAAATTTGAATTTATGTGTGATTTTGCCTTGGAAACACTAGGTCAACACAAATGAACAGCCTAGCTCTGAACTCTTCTCCCAGTTTCTCCAAGATCACTGGAGAGACTAGTTCTCTGGGGTTGTATGCTTGCTTGCAGGTGTCCACGTGTCTGTCCGACATGCAGTTTTGAGAGTTGCCTGTTTGGCCTCCTCACTGCAGCGGCCCTGCACAGCATCCTGGTGCTCCCCAGGCCCCACTGAATGCTGACACTCAGCAGCTGAGCCCTGGCTGAGAGTGGCATTTCTGCTGTCAGACAGCTGTGGCTCTCAGGAAGCTCTTTATGTTAAGACTAGATGTGCTTCAGGCTCCTGAGTCTACCACCGGGCCCAGTCCCGTCCTTGGATTGCCGGGAAAAAACGCTGCCGTGGGCAGCACTGCACGTTCTGAGACGGTGGTCGGGAACCCTCAGCTTTTCCCAGGCTTCATTTCTTCAGCAGCTTTGTTAGCAAGAGAGACCTGGTTCTGCTGACGCAGTAATATAGATCAGCGAGCCCATTAACACGCAGGTAAAGTTTATTAGTGCTAAGTTCTAGTGGGAGAGCAGAAGCAAGGGGGGCCAGAGCCACTCCTCCCTGATCCCCGATCCTTGGCCAGAGGCCAGGTAGCCAGGGGCCCCCTGTGTGGCAAAAGGGGCCGCGAGAGCGAGTCCTTCGTTCTGAGGAGTCACATGGTTGGCAGATGGGGGTGAGGGAGTTATGTATTGATAGACTGGTAAAGGTGGTACCAGCTGTACCCAGGGAGATTTGACTACGCAAACAGGTATGTGTGAAGGTCTGTTATGTTAGTCTGAACCCTTAACTTGCTCTAGATTCTATTCATTTTTCTTTTTTTTTAATATATTTTATTTATCTTTAGAAGGGAAGGGAAGGAGAGAGAAATATCAATGTATGGTTGCTTCTTGTGTGTCCCCTGCTGGGAACTGGCCTGCAACCCAGGCATGTGCCCTGACTGGGAATCGAATTGCGATCTTTTGGTTCGCAGGTCCGTGCTCAATTCACTGAGCTACACCAGCCAGGGCTAGATTCTATTCATTTTTCATACGTGACAAGGCAGGCAGAGTTTTATGGGCTTTTATTTGGGCACTGAGACCCACTGCCCTTCTCCCTTCCAGGCCTCTGGACAAATACACAGTCTTAAGGTTTTCCTTTTCCCAGCTAGTGGAGATGATATACACACTTTCAAGGTCTGCCCCCGCCCCCAGCAACACAAGTAAACTAGCTCTCGTAATTTACTTGTGTTATTCAGAATGCCTAGCGATCTTACCGAACCAGGCTCAGGACTACTGGGTCAGCAGGTGAGACATGTCTTCTTTGCTTTTAGCCTCCTGTATTGTTTGTTAGATTGCAGTGATGAGGGCCCTGCCTTTATTTCCCACGGCAGCTCGTACCCAGCTGCTAAACGCTCAAAGGCATTGCCTGGCAACCAGGACCCTAGCCAGTGGCCTGCAACAGCAGCACAGTCTCAGAGTCCTTCCTATGCTATCTCTGCATGAGCTTCAGAAATCCTCCAACTTTTTCTTTGGGAAATTTTCATATAGAATGAAAAGTTGAAAGAGTAATAATATAGGGTGGGGCAAAAGTAGGTTTACAGTTCATATGGAAAAAGACATGCAGGTTTTATTACAATAGCTGTATTAACTTTTATGTACTCACAACTTGTAATGGGCAAAATTCGGTTTACAAACCTGATTTTGCCCCACCCTGTAAAAAACCTCGTAGACTCCTCCCCTACCTTTGTAGGTAGTTATCAGCTTGCTGTGGTGTGTGCTTTATCTTTTGCTCTCAACATACACTTTGCTATGGACTAAACTGTGTCCTGCTAAAATTCTTGTGCTGAACCCCTAACGCCCACATGATGGCATCTGCAGGGGCCTTTGTGAGGCTATTAGAATTAGATGAGGTCCGAGGGTGCGGCCCCGATCGTGGGGTTAGTGCCAGAGGCTTGCTTGTTCTCCCTTCTCACCACGTGAGTTGAGAAAGTGGCCATTGGCAACCCTCACCAAGGGACAGCTCCTGCCAGGCCCAGAATTCACTGGCAGATCCATCTTGGACCTAAACCTCTAGAACTGAAGAATAAATTTCTCTTCTTTACTGGATTTCGTTAACGGCAGCCCAAGTAGACTAATACACTTTTTTATCACCATTTGAAAGTAAGTTGTAAACCACCATATTTCACCCCTAAACATGAGATCGTGCTTTTTCATGATCATGTTCTGTGTAACCATGTTACCATTAGTGCACAGATACCTAATGATTTAGTCCATATTAACATTTCCCCAGTTGCGCCCCCCACAAGGGATTTTTCTAGGACCCCTCCCCCAAATCCAGGCTCCAATTAAGTATCCTGTGTTGCATTTGTATCTTTACTCAATAGCAGCTAAGTACCTAAAGCAATTGTAGCCTGTTCATATGGGATGAAGCCTCACAGGTACCCTTGATGGGGGACTCAAATGTTGGAAAAATTTTAGTGCCGGGCAATGGCTAATAAGCTTAGCAACCTCAGAGTATGTAAAAAGCTGTAGTTTCAGGAGCTGAAGGTAGGACCCACCCTGACTCCAGGAGACCACAAGCACATCCACCTCTGTGCCTCAGGACTGCAAGCAGTCAACATGATATCTGAGCCACTGTGCCCCAGAGTGAGACACAGTGAAGGAATGCTGCTGCTTTTATCTGATTAACTTTCCCCCTGAATTCCAAACCTCTTGCCTACACTTTTCTTCTTACAAAAAGGATCAGTTTAAAATGGAATTTACAAAGGTCTGTTGGAGTAGAAACCCAGCGGCCATCTGAATAAAGCGCCCATAAAGATTTAATCCTCGTGTCTTTTTTGGGGGTCTGGTGGTAGTTGACAGGCAGCATGAATGCTGGCTTTTCCGGTTTCACTCTCAGTACAGTTTAGTGCAGAGGTCCTCCAGCTTGGCTGTACCTGGGCTGCACCCCCAAGACCAATCAGAGATTACTGGGGTCCACATTGTGGGATGCTCATGCAATCAACAGGATCAAAAGTAGGCAGGCAGTCTCCCTTGATGTGGTGCCTGATGTAAACTAAGCTGTCATTAATTTGTCATCCATGCCTTATGTTGGGCTTGGGACAGCTGGTCATTGCCCCTATTAGTGAGCATTTGCTGAGTCAGACACTGCTTCACGTTTGTAAACAGGACCTCATTCTACAACAGCCCCGTGAGTATGTAGTTATCTTTGTTTTATAGGTAGGGACCAGCATCAGAGATTAAATAATTCTCCTGTGCAGGGTCACAGGAGGTGACGGAGTCTGGATGCAGACCTGGCTCTGACCTCTGCAGAGACTTCAGACTCAGGTTAGTTTCTCGTAAATGCTCCCATGCAAATTCCTTGCCAGGGCTGTTGACTTATTTTGGAACCTGAATCATAGGCTGCTAATTACAAAGTAACCTATCCCTACCCATTGTGGTGGGGCAGGAGTCTGGAAATCCTTTTCAAAATGAAAATGCTCGTGATAAAATCTGAGAACTGAATTCTAATGAATAAACTTGAAAGTGTCTAAAAAATTAAACTAGCATGTGGATGGAAGTCGAAAGGACAAAGCCAGCCCCATTTGCCACACTGGCACGAGTTGCCCAGCAGGCCTGTGACCTTGTTAAACATGACTGCCATTTTACCCTTCTGATCTTATGTCCCCAGGACTGGGAATTTACTGGAAAGCAAAACAACCGACTAACTGCTCCCTACAGCTGCAGGCGAAAAATAACATGGGAACAAACTGCAGCCCCTCGTGACAACACCCCGACAGCCCAGGGGCCACACAGTAGCACCCCCACCTTTTAAAATCAATTATATATTATCCAATAAAAGCTTGCAGCCCCCACCCCTCAGGGCTGGTGCATATCTCTGAACCTAGCCTTTCCTTCTCTTGGGAAAGTAAAATAAAAATGTTGCTTTCTTCTCTTTACGAATTCTTTCACAGCCCGTGTCACTAACTCCCCTAACAGAAGTGATGTCAATATAAAACGTGCTTATTTCTACAGATCTCTGGTTACTTGATAGAGCATCGTTCTAAAAGAATCCCCGGGCCACAGGCTGTCACAGTTACTCTTAAAGCCTCATAATTGATTTTGCTCTACAAATAACAAAAATTTTTTCAAGACAACTTACAAATGACCTAACTTTGTCATCAACTTTTAAGGAGCCTAACCATCCCTAAAAAGGTAAGGGTGAATGTTCCAAAGTAGTAATATTTAGGTGTTTTTGTGGTTAGTGCATTTTATTACATCTTAAACCTCTTCTGTGTACATGAGTTAAGATTATGCCCTCACAGACCCAGGCTTCTGCTGTATTGAACTACCTTCTATCACATGGGGCTGGCATTGCATTGTATGTATATCTGGATAAACTACAGTTTGTTGATGCTTTTCTTAAAATGTGGAGCCCAGGACTGGACCCAGCTGCTCTGGGGTGGGTGAGCACAGGGGCCGTGTCTGC